GGGGGGCGGGGGGGGGGGAGCAGTTGGAGAAGGGGAGGGGGCCGTGGCCCCTGGGCGCTCGGTGCTGAATCGGAGTAACCCTCGCGGGGGGTTGGGTAGCTGGGGGACGTAGCCAGCCTCTCCGGGGGTAGGTCGACGGGAGCCCTGCGGAAAGGCGTTCCAACCGCTGGCTGGGTGGCAAGAGCCAAGGCCGGCCCTGCACCCGCCCGGCTCCCCGCTCTTGCTGCCTGTGTTCGGGATTTATCTCCCCGGCCCCCCGCTTGTTTACATTCTTCATATTCCACTCGCACTGAGAGACTCCAGAGCCCAGGATGGCCTGCTGCTGCCCTAGAGATCATGGGCCCCCCTGTGTCTCCCCTGCCCTATAGATCATAACCCTCCCCTCTTACCTCCCTGGCCCTATAGATCATAGACTCCCCAGCCCTCCTCCTGCCCTATAGATCATAGATACACCTCATCCCTTCCCCTGCCCTATATATTATAGATACCCTTCATCTCTTTCTCTGCCCTATAGATAATGGGCCACCCAGTCTCTTCCCTGTCCAATAGATCAACCCCCCCAATCCCTTCGCCTGCCCTATAGATTATAAGCCTCCCTTACCTCTCTGTCCCTATAGATCATAGACTCCCCATCTCTCCTCCTGCCCTATAGATCATAGACTCCCTGTCTCCCCCACCCTATGGATCATAGACATCCCCTCTCTTCACTCACCCTGGATTCCTTTCCCCACGTCTCCTCCTGTCGGATGAATCAGAGTATTCGCTCTCCTGGGCCCTGGATACGAACACTGGTGAAAAGGTCTCACGGGGGCGGGCACACATGTCTATCACCACCGTGTGAGCACTGGTGAAAGGTCTCACGGGGTGGGCATACACGTCTAACACCACCCTGTGAGCACTGGTGAAAAGGTGTCTCAGGGGCCGGGCACACACGTCTATCACCACCGTGTGAGCACTGGTGAAAGGTCTCACGGGGTGGGCACACACGTCTAACACCACCGTGTGTGCACTGGTGAAAGGTCTCACGGGGTGGGCACACGTCTAACACCACCCTGTGAGCACTGGTGAAAAGGTGTCTCAGGGGCCGGGCACACACGTCTATCACCACCCGGTGAGCACTGGTGAAAAGGTGTCTCGGTCACCACCGTGTGAGCACTGGTGAAAGGTCTCACGGGGTGGGCACACACGTCTAACACCACCGTGTGTGCACTGGTGAAAGGTCTCACGGGGTGGGCACACGTCTAACACCACCCTGTGAGCACTGGTGAAAAGGTGTCTCAGGGGCCGGGCACACACGTCTATCACCACCCGGTGAGCACTGGTGAAAAGGTGTCTCGGGGGCGGGCGCACACGTCTAGATGTGGGGCTCGCCCCACGCACAGAGGCTACGGCCCGGGGCGGG